GAGAGAGAGAGAGAAATACAGACATATATCTTCCTTGAGCTAAACACAGGTTTAGATGTTATAACTGTTACCTTGTTTATCGGGGAATTGTTTATAAAAACATAAACTTAGATGTAATAACCTTAAACATTAACCTAAAAAAAAAAATGCTGAATGACAAGACTCTGGCTGATGAGCTCATCAAATTGGAACATATACATTTATAGTTTATGAATGACAATTGAGCATTTTCTGGATTTGGAATATTATCAAATGAGCCAGTAAAATGTGTTTTAAAGATTATTACATATTCCTGATACAAAACAGCTTATTTATCGGTCCAAATGGTCCTTGTACATTATCAAAAAAGACAAATGAGCTTTCCAAAAGCAAAACAAATCACTTTCTATTGAGAAACAGATGCAATCAGATGGAGGAATAATTTGCAGTGAGGTAATTAATAGAGCAGAGCTGTCATATGTGTACTTTCTGATGACTGTTAGAGCTCCATTTGCATGAATTAACTCTAGCAAAGCACACAACGATAAATGTCATAAGTCAAAATGTATGCCCGATTTTTCACAGCAGTGGGGCCCAAACGTGTGGCTAATGCTGAGACGGCTGTGTGTCAGTGTGTGTGTTTGTGTGTGTGTCTGTGTTTGGAGGCCTCTGTGGCCTGTAGCTGTGCAGATGAAGTGTCAGCCTCTCGCAGGCTCAAACGCAACACTTTCACACTCTCTCACTCTGGTCCACTGCTCAAGTCAGAACTCCCTCTATCATTACAAGTGTGTGTGTGTGTGTGCGTGTGTGCATGAATGACATTCATTACTTCAGTTGTTCATAAATGAATTAGTCTTCTTCCATAGTATTCCTCTGCAGTGTGTAAATGAGCATGAGTAAGTCTGTATGTCTGCATAAATCAGCAAAATGCTAATTCCACCACTGAACAGTCCCCGTTCACACACACACACATGCACAAACATCTCCCCCTGATTTTTATATAGAAACTTAGACAGATTGTTTTGATAACCAAACACCTCATTAGCAAATCAGCATACGGCAGTACTTCTCAACTAGTTTTGCTTCAAGATCCAGATTTTACATGAAGTGACAATTCCAACATTCATTGTACAAAAAAAGTTAACTAAAATGTCATTAAATTAAACATAGTTATTTTATTATTATTATTATTATTATTATTATTTACTTATTTAAGCCAATGATTCCATATTCATTATTATTATTATTATTATTATATTAATTTATTATATAAAGACCGTTTGTTTGTTTGTTTGTTTGTTTGTTTGTTTGTTTGTTTGTTTGTTTATGAAGCCAGTGATTCACTATGTTCATTATTTATTGAATTCTGATTATTTATTTATTTATTTATGCCAATTATTGGCTGTTTATTATTATTATTAGAATTTTATTTTGTTAAGTAATGATTCACCATATTTACTTTTTTTATAATGTATTATAATTTACTTATTATTAAGCCAGTGATTCACCATATTTAACCTCATTGCAAGTTTAGCTGTTAATGTAGGTTTTTTTTTTTTTTTACCTTGCATAGTTTTGTTTGTGGTTTTTGAGAATGAGGGCACTTCCTCAGTCTGGCATATTTCTAATTTGACAAACTTTTCAAATTAATTGCAAATTAAATACTGCAGTGTTTGATTGCATGCAATTATTTTGATGCCAAATATTTTTTAAATAGTCACCAAAAAATTTGTTTGTTTTTCTGCGGTCGATGACCCTTATCCATTTGTTGTGGTGATATGGAGAGTGAGGGATAGACTTACTGTAGGTGGGGGATTGAACTGAGGAAAGATATCCAGCTAAAGCTATTCTCCAATGAGAGCCGAGAGATTGAGTCGGGAGCGCTCAGGCGAGCAGGCCTGCACCGTCACTTCCACTCAGCATCCCCCTCCCCACCCCGGCCTCCCTCCCCTTGACTGACATCAAAATATGGAGCGACAAGCTGTCGGCCCACCGCTGAAATCTGATTAGACATTGATTTCAGCAATCGTTCCCATTGGCCACAACGTTTATGCGAATTTGTTTTCTGAGAGCGAGGGAAGCAGGGAACGAGAGAGGGAGGTTTAGCGTGGCAAGCCGATGTGGGTTTAGCATGGCAAGATGGCCGTCGGCATGTCAGACAGTAGATCAGAGGAGACACTCTCTTATTAATTTCTTAATGCATTAGTATGCATATGTATGCATGCTTCACTCACATGTACATACCAGGATTTGAACACACACTACTAGGAAAGATTATCTGTATTATTTTACAGAACAAAATTCTTTAAAATTCTATATTAAATTTGAATATATAAATATTCATCTGATAAATATAATACATTATTATTATAATATATATTATTATTATTATTATTAAATAAAAACGTTTTTTTTATGCAATTTATTATGCTGATTTGAAGCTTAGTTGTTATTGGTGCTCAGTTATTAATAATGTTATTAATAATATTAATGTTGAAAGGTTTTTGGTGCTTAATATTTTTGTGGAAACGGTGATATATAGGACTCTTTGGTGAGTATAAAGTTCATTGAGCAGCATTTATTTGAAACAAATATTTATTTCTTTTACATTTTTTAATACTTCTTTGTAACATTATAAATGTCTTTACTGTCACTTTTGATTAATTTAATGCATCCTTTCTAAATAAAAATATTAATTTCTTAATTTCTTTCTTCTTTTTTTCTTTTGTACTTTTGAATGGTTGTGTATCACAGTTTCCATAAAAATGTTAAGCACCAAAAAGTGTTTTCAACATTCATTAAATTATGGAGCATAAGCACAAAATAAAGAGCATAAGAGACTTCTCAAAAAAAAAAACTTAATTATTCCAAACCTTTGCCCACCAGTGTCTGCATTTATAAAAGTGTATTTCTTTTTTCATGGTGAAATTAATTACATTTTTTTTCCTGTTTTGTTTTCAGGGTAATGGGGGATGGCAGGATGCTACGACTCCATCCTCTGTGATCTCCCCTATAGAAGGCCCTGGTAGTGTGCACTCTGATACCTCGAACTGATCTCCTGATTGACATGGCCCCTTCCCAAGCTGTGGACAACCAATCACAGAATTGCAAAACCACAGACTGACCAATCAGAGACACAGAATAAACTCTCATCGCTGATCCAGAAACATGCTCATGGAATCATCCACAGTACTCTTCCACAGTGTTTTGGAAGCTGGATATTTCTTAGCCGTAACATCAGTCCACTGAACAATCTCTCCTCCAGTCATATTAAACCATTATGTTTAGTTTCTTTTATCATTTGAAGTGTACAAACTCAAAATGTATGAGTTATTATAATATTGAGTTTATTTACCGGTCATAACCCCTCTCCATTGTTCTTCTAACCAACTGTCGGCAAAGCTTTAGTGCAGGAATACATCTGATACTTACAAAAGTATATTCATATGATGCTAACCGATGCATTTAACAGGGCTAAATGCTACAGAAGGCAGCTTGGGGAATTCATTGCAGATATTTTTTGAGTTTTATTAATATCACACATAGCAATGACTTAAACAAGACCACCTATGGAAGGCAATCCACTCCATTTTGGGGGGTGATTTTTTGAAATACCTGGCAATTAATGTCTTTTTTAAAAAACACAAAACGTAATCAATATTCAGTCCACTAAGATTAATGAAGGAAGTGTAGAAGATGTGAAAAGGAAATATGGGTCATCTTGTTGGACGCTCTTCTGGCAATTTTCCATTCAAAAATGTTCTTGTATATGACATAACTTGAGAGTATTTATACATCTTACAAATAAATACTCAGCTTTATTACCTCATTGAAACTCATAGAAAACCAATAGATTTAAAACATTTCTTTAGCTTATAGTGCTCTCACTGACTACCTCTCAACAAAAATCACCACCACCACCGTCTTTGTCTTTTACTTTCTGTCATTCTTTTTTAATCTTTTTAAAATACTTTTTTTTTTTACTTTTGTTAGATTCGGTTTCTTGTAAGAAATTTGCTCTCTCTGTCTCTCTCTCACTCGTTATGTAATCTAATGTATATTTTAACCTTCTAAGAAAACTTAAGTTGCTTTATTGCAACTTTTAAAAAGAAAAAAAAGAAAAAAGTAACCATGATATTAATAATGTGAATAACACGGAGAGTATGGAGAGTACAGTGGCTGGTGGAGGGGAATTTTGTGCTGGAACAGGGAGGGGGAAATACGATCATACAATTAACACCAAACAGTAAAACTGTTGTAAATACTGAAGAACATTTTGAATGTTGCTCATCTTGTTACTAATTCATGCAAAAAAAAAAAATAAAAAAGTAATAAACAAAAAACCATGATTAAAAAAAAAAAGAAAACCTGTAATGTATAGAGGTTTCAGTATTCAGAATTGTACATTTCAAAACCCTGTGTGACAGGGTTCCAACTTTCTTTCTCTTTTTTTTTGTATCGTATGTGATTCTGAAACTGGTAAAAAAAAAGTCATACAAAATTTATTTGTGGCAGTGGTTCTAATGTATTAAAAGATGTTTCGTGTTTCTTTCTAACCAGACTACACCCTGGACTGAAAAGTCTTCCTTGTGGTAGTTATGTGTAATTTCAAACATGAATAAACTGTTTTCCTTTCATGACAGACTGTTTTGATATTGCCTTCTTTGTTTTAGGTGCACTTGAGGTGATTATAATAAGAATAAAAATAATAATATACTGATTTAAATAAATGTAAATCGATTAAACATTACATTTAATTACTTTAGTTTAAGCACAAGCATATTGATGACTAGTTGTATTATTATGAGAACAACTGTACTTCTGTTATATGCATATACATGTGTCCATACACATATCGAAACCAGAGTCTTGTTCATTTGCATGAATACCTCTTCATGCCAATTTCAACAAAGTGAGAGATTTATTCTCCTCCACCGCGCATGTATCAAATCAAGCACAAACGCCGTACTAAACACAACACCCCATTTTGCTAACACACAAGTGCTTGTGTCACATCACTTAGACAATCATACGCCAATATCTTAAATGCATTAGTACACGTCTATGCAAACCACACATGCGCATGACAGAGCTTCTAAGAAGAATTGACAGTCCCCTCATAGAAAGCATGGTTCCCCCCGCAGGCTTGTTCTCTCTCAAAGAGAAAGAGAGGGATTTTAGCATAGTGAGGGCTGCTGGGGCCAAATGAATTATTTGGTTTGATAGGGATCCATGGAACAGCTTGTGAGAAGCCATTCCATGTGGCATGGCGACATGTGACAAGATTGCATTAATAGTACTAATTGTTGCCTGAGCCCTTTGACAAACGCAACTAAATTAATAGCTTTCTTTAATTGGCCTGTTTGTGAATTTGCACTCCGGCCCAAATCCCAGATTTTATTTTTTAAATAAACAAGGTGGACTCATTGTCTGAAGATCACATCCTAAGCTTCCTATAAGAGTCTGGCAATGTAGAGAACTGATACAGGCACGCTCTATTCAAAACACAAGGAAAAATGCTCAAAAATGGAACATATGCAGCGCAATTTAAGAATAATTAATAATAGCAAGAGTGCAGTAGGATAGTATTGAGGCCTAGAAGTTGGTACGCATTTTATAGTTTATGCAGCCAACGAATTGTAGAATTCTGCTAACAACAATGAATAGAAAAAGTTCATGAACATCTATTCTAAACAACATTTCTGTAGATGGGTAAACCACCTTATATTTAAAGTGCGGGGATGGATAATTTTTTCTTGACTGTGCAAGACTTCCAGTGTCATCCATTTCTAGTTATTTTAAACTGGTATTTGTTACATGTTTTTAATTTATTATCGTAATCATATATTGCACTGTTCTTCTTCTAGTTATATACTTATAGTGGCTAATGATTCGTAAATTGAGAACACATGAGAATACAGATTATTATGGCATTTTAAGGCTGTCAGTTTATTAAAACAATGAATCATTTTCTCATGAATTATATTAACATGAATTATATTGAACCTGCCGAAATGTTCCTATAAATATATTTTTCTTTCCTAGTGTGCATTCTGAATAATAAAAATACTTCCCTACTTTGACTGATAAACGGGATTTGCTTGTGTTTTGGTGTTTTTATTCCAGTCTAAAATAGTTGAATGAATGCCATACCCACCTTTAACAATGTAAAACATATTTAACTAATCTTAAACAGTAACATTGATTGCCAATGAAGAATTACTGAGGCTTGTGAATGAAACATTTAATACAAATAAATACTGTACATCGCTCTGATCTTATTGATCAGGTCTCGCTATCACTGCAGCATTTCGGACACAGTGACTAGTTTAGAGCACTGACACTCTGTGGTGAAATAATTTCATATGTTTACCAGTCACTGCTTTCTCAGACCAGCTTGGGTTTGATTAAAACTTCATGTTTTCCATTTACATAGAAACTGTTGCACAAACACACACTATACTATCTTGCTAGCTAACTAGTTTGTGCTGTAAAGAATGACATTGACTAAATTAATCTGGAGTGTGATACCAGTACAGGTGTGGTTAAACTGAATTGTGGGTGGTTAGCAAGTAAGCTAGCAAGAGAAAGTGTTTAGCAAATTCAGCCCTGAGAGTCTGGATTGGTTTAGAAGTAATTGGAGCAAAATGGCCATAATAACTTATCTTCTAACCCTAAATCAATGATAAAAAAAATGCATGCCAGATAATAGAGCAGATTTTTCAAAAGAGCACTGCAAATACTGACTTTGCCGAGACAAATCCTAGTATTAGCTGACAAAAGATAAAACCATTACCAAGCTCAAGGTAAGGTCATGCACTGCAGTTAAAGTGTCACTTTTAACCCAAAGTAGTGCTTTCTTAGACCAGCTAGTAAATGCACCAGGAGTTTTATAGCACTTTCTGTTCTGACTAATGACCTGATTGACTTTGTAAGCAGAGAAAGAACTAATGGTTCAAAAGGAAGAATGTATTAGATGTCTAATGCCTGGAAGACATGGGGCTAATCATTATGCCATGAGAAATGACTCTTTTTGATAATTTTACCACCTAAATTACCATAAACTGTTTTCTGATCTTCTACGTGCATGTTTCAATAGCTTGCCAAACCATCTGCAAAATATCAGCCCAGATTCGTCATCTTTCTTTATTGGTGTTTTTATTATTATTTCTTTTTTGTTACTTGGATGGCCGAGACAGAGGCACAGCGATAAACAGTTTGACCTTCAAATCATGTTGCAGGTAAACCTATTTAGCATTGCCCCAGTCAACTGCTCCCGGTGGTCAGTACCCCTAGTAATTAGAGGGCCAGCGCAAATCATATACAGACCTTGAAAAATGAAAGCCAATTTAAACAATTCCCCCTCTGATCCTACTAGAATGATTTAGCTGCCAATGTGAGACTTCAATAGCCTCATTTGTTGCGATGATGTTTTTGTATATTAATGTAATGTGGGCACTGAGAGGGGTTTGACTGCTAAGAGAGTGTGTGTGTGTCTTTTTGCACTCATTTAAAGGAACTGACTGAAAGCTGATTATTATGGAAGTCTGTTTCTGCATCGAGTAAAGAAAAAAACAATGTAATCGCGACTTCCAATTCCAAATCCAAACTTTCAGTTTATATTTTGCAATTTCAAATTTGTTTATCATAATTTTGGATTTATAATTTATGACATGACTTTATATCAAACTATGTGACTTTAAATCTCACAATGTAATTTATATCTCACAATGTGACTTTTACATCAAAATATGACTTTATATCTTGCACTTGTGACTTTTTTTCTCACTTTTTACATTTTTTGGGAAACTGGTGGCTTCCATAAATTACTGGTAAGGAAACATGCTTTAAGCAAGCATGAAATGGAAATTGTGTTCGTAATTTCTCTTCTACTGTGTAGTATATTCTAGTGAAACGACTTCTTGAACTAGAAAAAATGTAAGGTAAGACTTCATTTAGTTCATCGGAAATTGAATAGATCAATTGTTACAATGCAGAGCAAAGTACTTAAAATCCCCTTAGCTGTTCTAAAATCACTGTAAACCACGGCTTCACAGGGCTTATTGCTTTTATTAAATGTTTACTACATATACAGTACATGGCAAGGTTTCATAAAATAAACACACAGCAACAAAAATTTTAATTATTTTTTGATAACAAATAATTCTTCCACCAAGCAATGCCGTTTTTCAATGTATGTTTATCAGAATGTTTATCAGATGCAACAAAAAACACTGACTTAGTGGCTCAGTAATACTCATGTAATACAGAGTACTACTCATGTAATACAGATGAATACTCATGTAATACAAAGTAACTTTTGCATTACTGCAGTCTGAACCAGGGAAACATAACAGTGCCACTTATGGATAGTGTTCATCTTCACCTGTGGTGGAATTTTGAGAACAGTGATGAAAGTTGTCATGTCTGAAATATGTTGTCAAAAAAGTTAAGATGCTAT